GGGACGTAGCAGATTTTGCGTAAGATTTATGGAACGGCGCATGCCATAGCCGATGGATCGATGAGCTGTACGAGATATACGGTGACATTGACATAGTTCAGCGAATCAAGAAACAGCGACTGCGCTGGCTAGGTATTATGGTTTGGATGGATAAGAATCATCCAGCTTGGAAAATTGGAAGGGAAGACCTCCACTCCGCTGTAAAGACCACGTGGAGAAGAGTTTGGCTATACTTGATATTTCCAATTAGCGCTAGGCAGCGAAGAAAAGAAACAAATAGCAAAATGCCGTTCACGCGGAATTACGTAAGCGTTGTCTACGCCAGTAAACGTTAAATAAGTATCTTATTAGTGGATGATCCCCTGCCAATTCCATCAAACACATCAGTAAACTTTACTGGCCGTCCAGAATTTGTTGGTTTTGTCGGTTGGTCTGACCTTGGTGCCGCTTTGGTGGGCATATGTTTAGCTGTTCTATACTGTGACCATTTTAGGGAGTCAATATTGTCTGACACTACTTTTCTCTGGGGCAGGCAATATAAAGGGCTGCCCTATCTCATTTTAGATTGCCACTGAATCTACTTTTACTGGCAAGCCAGTGGATACGTGGTCAGCAATTAAAAACAGTTTGAAGCCCCTTATTGTGCTCTCAAAAACAGCTTTAAAATCGATAAAAAGGTTATGTGTGTCAACTCTTTCCTCACGGGCCTTTTTCAAGATTTGGTGCATGGAAATGTCTGCACCATTATGGATTTACCACGTTTAAAGCCATATCGGTAAGGGCCAATAAGTGTGTTGACGGCTCAGCGGTAATTAGCGCAGACCGTGGATTTTTATGGATTGTGCAGAGCAGATTTGATTTCTCATTACCGGGACTGCTTTCGTCCGACCATATTCTGTAAAAAAAGCTTATGTATGCACTTTGTCAGCTCTTCGCCGATATATTTGTGTAGCACTGCCGGTAAACTATCAGCTCCAGCCGCTTTGTTGTTCTTTAAACAGGTAATCACTTTTCGAAACTTTCATTGCCTTTTAGCAGGCTTTAGTAATGTTTCCTCCGTGCAACAAGTGTGCTCTGGACATCGGTCGTCAGATTACCAAAATGGTAAATACATGAAAATGCTCCGGTCGTGAAACGTTCGGTTAGTCGTCGTATCTCTTCATAGAATTTTTTAGCTTCTCAAGCTCTTCACACTCACGCATTTCGGATTCTATCTTTTTGCGTTTGCAAATGCGTCTTACTTCCTCTTTAGCTCTCGGAATCTATCCCACCTCGCACGTGTTGTGGTCGATGGTAAGTTTGCGAGGTAGAATTTTCTCATCGTACCAGCTCTTTTTATGACGCTGTCGAGGACTAGCTTCCGTAGTGGCGGGACGTAGGGAGTTTGAGAGTTCCACAGTTCCCTTATATCGTGTTGCTGATGAAAGCATTTGTGCCAGTCGAGTAGAAACCCGTTCGGCTGTCTGTTGTCAAAAAATTCATCATTGATGTACTTTTCCATTATACAGTTGTATGTATGTTTGTATGAAATAAAAATTATGAGTTGCCCTCCTGCTGTAAATAGGTACGCATGTACATATGTATGTATGCTTCTGCGCTGCGTGGGTTTTGTGCATTTGAAGACAATCCAATTGAGTGCCATAAAACTTTAGACAGCAAAATTTAGTCCAATGCATTGCATTGCTGCGGTGGGGTACCCTTTCACGGTGACAGTTGATTTTGTGGTTTTGCAGCTTCAGATGGCGACTGGCGTTGGTGGGCTGTGTGGGTGGCTGTCGATGAGTATGAAAATGTATACAGAAAACTTCCGTTGGTCGGTCGGTAAATATTGCTAGTATTTTTGTATATGGCTTTATTGTATTGCATAGATAAAGATGCATACATACATATATACATAAATGCAGCCTATGAACATACATATACATATATGATCTGAAGTCACTCACATTTATACACAATTTTCTTCTTCTTTTTAGTTGACGTTGAGACCACTGAACCAGCAACTGTAGACAACATGGATACTTCCAACGGATTGGAGTTAATCTCTCTGCTCTAATGGCTACATCGTATGCTGGTATAGGCAGCTGGAGCTGTGGATTTTGTGTAAATATGTAAATTCACATAAAGTGTGTACATGCTGTCTGAAGGGACGAAAACACTCCACTGAAAGTGCAAAGATGGGGCACCCGTTGATGGAAGCAGAGGAAGAGAAAGACCTCCTCACCGAAAATTATGAAGAGAATCATGTATATGCATATATATTACACACATATAAAGGGTGATTTTTTAAGAGCTATGGGAAATCTTAAAAATAACATAAAATTCAGCAAAATCCATGAAATCTTTATTTGAATCGATAGTACGGTCCATATAATTCAATGTTTGGAGATTATTTTATGCAAATGTTGATCGTGACTGCGTCTCAAATCCATCCATCCATCCATCCGCTAAGTCCAATTTTGGCATACTCTTTCCAACATTTCGGCCGATATTTCACGCGCCAATTGAAACGGGCTTGTCTGTGCATACATTAGATTTAACATAGCCCCACAAAAAATAGTCTAAATGTGTTAGATCGCACGATCTAGGCGGCCAATTGACCGGTCCCGAACGTGAAATAAAATGTTCACCGAACTCGCATCTCAATAAGTCCATTGTTACTAGTGCTGTGTGGTGATGAATGGTGTGAAACCACATGTCATGTAAGTCAAGTTCTTGCATTTTGGGCACCAAACTTTTTCTGGATGTATTGGTAGCTCTTGCAATGCTTCTGGCTGATCTTCACTCCAAAATCGACAATTCTGCTTATTTACACGCCGATGGGTATATTAAACTGGCCATAAAATGGAAGAAGCGCGCGTTGAACCTTCTTAACAGAGCACGCATTTTGATAATAAAATTCAATAACTTGCAGGCGTTGTTCGTTTGTTCGACGATTCATGGTTAAATTATAGACCAAACCGAAGATGTTTGGCAGTGACAAAAAACACGAAACGTGCGTCAACTAAAAAGATAATAGCTAAAAAATGACCCTTTCTTTGAAGCCAACAGCAGGACTAGTTACATAAATTTAATGGCTTTCGACCAATCAGCTTTGCATCCTTTCTATTGAAAGTCCAAGAGAGAATGTTTAATGTCTATATACATATGCACGTACGTCGAGTGATAACTGCGAAAAGCCTACTGGGTAATTAGCGTGGCTACATTTTGTCGATACCAAACTTCCCACTGTGGTGGGAAATGAGAAAGCCTTTAGCAATGTTTAAGCTGAGATACGTGTAGTCACCAAACGCGCTGCAAGAAAAGGGGTCTGAAGCACAATTTGTGAAAGCCGTGAAATTTCTCCTAGAGAAAAGTCGCTACATTAGCAGGCACCCCACAGACTCAAGTTTTCTCTCCTTTCTCTTTCTGTCTCACCTCTAACACGTCGTTTGGTGGGATAAGAAGCACAGGTTGTGATGTACTGGCCTACCCTGACGACGTCGCCTTTACAGGGGCTGGAATAAAACACCGAGCTTTAAGTGATTTACTTCAGAATGTCCTTTACATAGTAAGCAATTGGTGCAGTGACTGCCATCTGGATGTAAATCCTTCAAAGACCAAATTGATACCATTCACCGGAAGGTACGAGCCTTTCACTTTTCCATTCACCCTTGTCAAAGGCAAAATGCTCGTATAATCCTAGATAGTAAACTCACCTGGAACTGAAATACGGTAGAAAAAACTAGAAAAGCTATGACAGCACTTGACGACTGTAAGGCGGCTAACGGTAAAAGTTGGAAACTAACACCCTACATTGTATTTCTGCAATACATAGCGATAATTAGACCGATATTATACTATAGATTCACTGTCTGGTAGTCGGCACTAAAGAAAGCTACTTACAGAAACAAGCTGTATAAAGTTCAGCGAACGGTCTATATACTCTAATAAGCAGTACTGCCTTCAATTCCTACGAAAACACTACAAGTTCTTCTTCTGCATCTCCCTTCAGATCTGTATCGAGAACTATATACATATCAGCTGAAATGCCATAAGGCAAAAAAAAAAAAAAATAAATCATGGTTAATCCACAATACACCAAACTTGGAAGAGAACCACTCCCAACCAATACATATAAGCAAGAGACTTCACGACAACCGCAGCGTCTTTCAAGCCCGACTATGCGATATAATAGACGCCGCTTCGTGGTTACTCAACACTGGTATGCTAACTTAACTCGTCCCAATATATTCTGACAGCTAGGCTGTTATGAAATCTCTTGAATGCCATCAAACCACCCTAAAGGTATCGAAGAGATACAGAAAAGTTTTAAAGAAGTTAACGATTGTATGAGAAACGTTCGTGATTTGAGTACTCGGAACATCAGGGCATTGCGAGGTCGACGAGTCAGCTAGAAGGGGAACAGTCGTAGCCACGGTTAACTCTATACAAACTTCTTTCCTAGGCAAAGTATCTGCAAAAATCGGCCTACACCAGTAAGCTCAATAGCAGATAGCAGTATGAAACCAAATACATACAATATGATCATGGAGATCTGGTTATTGCTCCCGAGAGAAGAGAGCTAAGTATCTACGCCTTGTAAACACGCCCTTCATGAGCATAACAAACTAGTATAGTAGTAGTATAGTAGAAGGATGGGCTACATTTCTAACAATTTAAATCGCAGCTGCAGATACTTGTACGAGAAAGAGTCGGTAAAGCATTACCACTGCCACCGCTCAGTCACCAGGGTGACCCAACCTCTTTTACTCGGTCATTTTTTACTACGACTACCTTGCAGAACTCGCGACCTCAAGCGCCGATAATCTTGTGGGTTTTATAAAACGCACTAATTAGATTCGAATATCTCGGAAGGTCAGAAGAATTTCTATTCACAAGCCTTTCAATAGATACAACGACAAGCCAGCAGGTTTCGTAGTTGAGTAAATTCAATAACTTACTTGTAATTATTATAAAACTATTACTCAAATGAATATTTATTTTCTATTGAACCCAACTATTTTATTACACATTCTGATACATAATATATGTGTGTACATAGAAATATGTATTTCCTCATTAATAGCATCACACGCGGTCTCGCCCTAAACGTCTACTTCAACCAGTTTCGATTTAACATACTGTTGCCATGCATCTTCTGCCACCGTCACCTGTTCATCCACCTCTACTCGCAACTGCGCAATACGGTATTTATCCAGTGCCATTTTCATCAGCACATAGTCCAATGTGCGTTCACCACCTTCTACGCCGGCTGGAGGCTCCTTCAATTTGTCAGCCAATTTAATGAATTTTCGCAAATAGTCAAATTTAGTATGGGTTGTGGTCAGATTTGAGCTGAACTCCTCTGCGGCCGCTGCGTCCAAAATATTCAGATAGCGTGTGATTAGTTTCACCTTAGAAGCTACAAAATCACTACGTCCAACCACTGTTGTAATCTCCTGATTCATTTTGGTTAACGTATCAACGATTTCTCTTAATTTCCTGTCCGTTGCGCTATTGAGATTCCGTTGCTGTGCCCAAAAGTCAGCCATCGATCTAAGTGGTCCGACAGTAGAGGTTTCCGACGGCGCATTTTCGGTTTGACTTATTAATTCTTCCTCTACTGACTCATCTGGACTGAGGTTATTTTTCACGGTAATGTGATTGTTTTCAAAAATCCAAGTTTTATTAAAAACACCGCCATGGGTCTCGGCTGAATCGTTACCAGATTTTACATGAAAATCGAAGGCGAAACGGAAAAGCACATTGGCGGTCGTGAGCTAAGTAAATAAATAAGATTTTTTATTTATTTATTTTGATTTGACATACTTAGGTACATACACGTATATACATATGTAAATATTACAAAATTTGTTTATTGCTTTTCTTACCTTTGCATCTTTGCTGATTACAGTGATAATAACAGCCAACAACAGTAATTGCAAGCGCGGCAGCATTGTCATGCTATTTTCGGAAGATTTTAAATTGAAACTAATAGAGAATTTTCTATTGAAATCTCTGAAACCCAATGGCTTCGGTTTTAGTGCGTCAGCAATCAGTTTATCGCCCAACGATGTCTATTATGATAGAGGTCAAGCTGCTGAGTTCAAGTGAGATTAAGCAAAAAACGCGTCGGTCTTGTAGTATATATATTATATATACATATACTTATAATATTTACAGATAATAAACATATATACATTCATAAATATGTATATAAAAAAGACTCAAGTAAAAATAAAAAAAATATAAAAATATTGTGCACTTTTACAACAAGACTTGCACTGTCTGAATAACGGTAATTTTCTAATAACCGTAAAAACTTCTTAAGAGAGAGAGAGAGAGAGTTCAATAAACCGGATTTTTTTATTGCTTCTAGAGGTTTCTCTCTAATCCGTGCTTTAGCTTTTAGAGGTCCAAGAGAAGTCTGTCTCACTTAGTTGGCTAGTCAGTTTAACAGGTTGCTTGGCCACGGAACCCAGATGAAGCGCACCTAAGCCTATTGACCCCTTGTGATACTTATGTTGGCCCTTACAAAAAGATACCATTCACCTTTCCTTGACGCATACCGATGCAAGCTCTGCAAGGCAATCGTAGAAGAAATTTCAGAGAATACGATAACGGACCGCACTGAAAGCTGGGCAGTGATAGAGATAGTGCTTCACCGGTTATTATGCTTATGGAGCTGCCGCGACGGAGAAGAGTTTTAGTTCTATTTAACTCAATTAATGGCTGGCTACGCTGGCTAGGTTATGTCGTCCGAAAGATGAAAGCGCTACAGTTTTCAAAGTATTCGATGCAGTACCAGTATTCCGCGGAAAAACTCCACTCCGTTCGAAGGTGGAGAGTGTCCTGGTTTCATTTGGTATCTCCAACTGACATGAAACAGCGAAAAGAAGGTATGAATGGCGCGCTAATACTGATTCGGCTATAATCGCATAAGCGGTGCCAACGCCAATAAAGAAAAAAGAAGAATGTATCACATTGCACACGGTCTCGCTCTGAAACCTGTTGTTGGTCCTTCTGGTAAGGGCTAGTATTGGCAGATACTTTGCCGAGGACGGTATGAAGGCGGTATGCCCACGTCGTGTGCAGAGTTTATCGTGCTTAGGAATGTTTCCTCTCTGGCCAGTTCGTCGGCTCTGCAGTTACTTGGAATGTATAGAGGCTGTCCGCTGGACTTTTTCCAGCTTTTCTTTTGCCTAGTGCTGGTCACAAAGTAACTCCGTAGAATAAAATGGATCTTATTACCGCTTTTCATAGTCAATACACAATATGTGGTCTTAGTTCTGATATTCTGACAACCGCCGCCTTGCAGGCTTAGAGTCCGATCGACGTTTTCTCACATTTTTTACACGTGTTCAGGTTCCAGGTGAGTTGTCTGACTTATGAATATTAAGCCTATGTATTTAAACTCAGCACAAAGAGCGATATCGGCGCCTTTGAGTCAGGGTGGATTTTGAATTCTATAATTTTGAGTTGCGTAATTCCAGAACTACATATTGAACATGACGTTATCTTAAGACGAGTGCCAATTAACGTATATTTGAACTTCTTATCTCATAAAAATATTATATTTGTAAACATTATAGTATATATATGTATATATATATATGTACATACAACAATTTTTATAAAAATGGCAGCGTGTAAGTTTGTTTGATTTGCCAGCGGCAATTGGGCATTAAATTCAATGGTCGATCGGTTCAAATCCTAGTTAAAACATGCTTTCCGTGCATGTGTCGGGCTTGAGAATAAGAGCTTCCCCGGATGGTCCTTCAGCTTTCCGGATGCCGTTTTTTAATATCTCCTGCTAGTAGTGTGGGTTCGAGCTCTTACTAGCCTTTGTCAATACGCAAACGATCTCGCACAAATTCTTCCACTCGAAAATTTCTAGTGCCGATTCTTCAGATAATGTCGCCAACCGCGCTTATGCTCCATTTAGCAACACGGGCATGATGAACGACTTGCAGAACTTGGTTCTTGTTTGTCCAGAAAGAATTTTTATCTAATCCCTGTTTACTCCAACGTTGTATCTATTGGCACAAGTTATTACGCGTTGCCCGCTTCGCATTTAGACCCGTTTGTATTTATACTCGTATGGTGGTTAGTGTCGTAGGTGGGTATGTCGGGGTCATGTTTGGATAAGTCCGAATGTAGTTGACTTCAATATCTAGATCTTAGTTGTAACAGTATTACTCGGGCCTCATGGGACAGCTGCAGCTTCTCACATCTACAACAGGTGGTGCTTGGATATCGAGAACGCCCTTGACTGGAAGTAAGTCCAAGAAATGCTCTAGATGGATAGGGTTTAAAGCCTGTCGGTATGCCGTTCTCTCCAGCGATTCTTGTTCAGGACTTTCTTCCTGATGTTTAGAGCGTCTCAAACAAATGTCTATTGGGGATGCAACCGACGATATCATCCCAGCAGTTATTGCTTGCACAGAATATCATTATGATCCTTAACTCGTATCATAGAGTATATGCTCTGTCGGCATCAGGAGAACTCCTGTCACGGTCCTAAGGGCGTGTTTCGGTTAAGGTCTTTCCCCAATTGCTGCCGGCTAAGGATTTGAGGATTTTTTTGCAGCTCACGCTATTGAACGTGACTGCCAATAATTTTGGTTGGTTAGTTGTCGGAATTTCTGCGCCATCGACTTTCTCATCGAGTTCGAGCCGGCGACCTAACTGGATTTAAATCCATAGGTAAAGCTAGTCTAACTGTTAAGCATCTTCTTCAGCGCTTGAACGTCAGCCTGCTAATTGACGTCCACAAAAGTTTATTCTCTCTGGCGACCGCGGTAGCCGAGTGGTTAGCATTGTGTACTGCCATTCGGAAGACTCAGGTTCATATCCTGCTACGACTAACATCCAAAAGTTGTAGCAAATTAATTTAAATAAAAAATTGAATTAAATTTTCTATTTGCGGTCACCCCTCGGCAGGGAATGGCAAAACCTCCGAGTGTATTTTGGACATGAGCTCCTTATAAAAAAAACATCAGCCGTGTGGAGGTGGCTTAGTATAAACTGTACGTCCCTCTAGTTGCTGGAAAAACATCAAGACGCTTTGTGGCTTTGCTCCAGCTTGGCCGAGAATAGCTTCAGTGGTTACAAGGCGCTAAATTATATATATATGTAGATGTAAAAATAAATAAATATTATTGTAACGGGAAATAATAAATGCAGTTACAATAGGCTACATTGTATATGTAGACTTTTTTTTGTTGTAAAAACACCCTTAATTATTATGTACATGCATACGTGTATATGTGTATGTATTAATATTTCTCATGCAATTCATAACACAGTTATTTTCAAAGCATTGCATATGGATTTGTATGCACATATGTATGTATGTATATACATATACGTATGTATGTAAGTATATTTGCCTGTAAATATTCATAAAATAATTAGCCATGCTGGCGAGCTTTTCGCACGTTCGTTAGTGAAAGCGATGGCGTTTTGCTCCAAGGTCATGTCCTTGAAAGAGCTAACCAAATAAATAATATATTATATGTATGTATACACAATAAATATGCAGTTAACTCATTAACATATAGAAATACATATGCATACGCATGATATGTATGTATGTATGAGTACTTAGTTACGAACATTTGTAAATGGCTTTTAATGATTATACATATACATACATATGTATGTATAATGTTTATACAAGTATTATATTTGTGGGTATTTACATACATACATATGTACATATGTTTCAATATTTAGTATTACAGACAAACACTAGGCTAAATCAACTCATTTCGTCATTTTATGCAGCTTGATGAATATGTATATACATATGTACTACAAAATTATATGCAGAAAAAGAACAGTTAGAAACTTGCAAAACATGAGAATTGAGAAAACTAATTTCACCATTTTTTATATCTCTTTTGATATATAAAAGCACGCAAACAGATACATATGTACATATAATACGAGTATACAGCGGCTCACAGCCAACGTGATGCAGCTATGTAAGAAATAGTATAATAAGTTTTATTCAAAAATTAAATAAATTCTCCAAAAAAAAAAAAAACATAAATGCCAGTTAATAGCGGCAGATATACACATTTCATTTATGCTTTAAAAATTTTATATTCATATGCTTAAACCACTTTTGGGCTTTGTGAAATTCGTGAGATTAGTGATGTAAGCTTTGCAAGGAATCGTAGCAGAAATTTCCGAGAAAACGACAACGGACCGCACTGCGAGCGGAGGTATTGTTCCACCGATTCCCTTCAACTGCGGCAGAAGTCCTTTGAGATGATTTTAGTAATGAAAATTATTATATTTTTGCCATAAAAAGCACTAAGTGAGCTGTAGAGGGTCTGAGTCCTACATTTCATGTGGGGATTAGCTAAGAAAAAAAATAGTATTTTCCCTAATCTAAATCAAGCTAAAAACAGCTAATACAAACTACAATTTTTTTTAAACCCGACACTCAAAAAAAGTAGCGGGTAAAAGGCGCCGAGTGGCTCAGCCTTGGTGAATGACCGAAAGTACCTAATATTGTATATACATATATATATATACATATGTATGTATGTATTTGTGCATGTTCTTGTTTCATAAATTTAATACCAAAATATTAATATATATTATTTAGATATAATATTTGAAATCAAATTTTATGTCGCGAGTATAATTAATAAGGTATAAAGTAATAACTACAAGTATGTAAATAAAATATGTATACATACATATGTACATACACGTATAATGTAAGAAAATATGGAAGAGAAAATTGAATAATATTCCGTACTTACATACATATGAACATGTGTACGTGTACATACATATGTACCTTAAAGCCTTGCTAAAGCTAAAAATAAAACTGTTGCACATATATTTATCCTTAGCTGAAAACAATCGTATAAAATATTAAACATTTATGACGCACATAGACATACGTACATACATTCATATGTCATTTGTATATGTAGATATGTATTTAGTAAGTAAGTAAGTACATATCTCAAATACCTCAAAAATGTATACAGAAAAGTATTTACCTAATGTACGT